ACTGAAGACAAAGTGAGGAGTTCTACAGAACTTGATGTAGTGCCTTCAATTCAAAATGTCACCTAGTATAAAAACTAAAAAAAAACCAAACTCACTGCAATCGAGTCGTTTCTGACTCATAGCGAGCCCCACCAGCTTTCTGAGACTGTACATCTTTACGGAAGTAAATTGCCCTGTCTTCCTTCTCGAGCAGCTTGAACCCCTGACCTTCCAGTTAGCAGTCAAGTGCCTTATGCACTACACAACCAGAGCTCCTCAAAACCAAACTCACTGGCATAGAGTGGACTCACAGCACCCCCCTTTGAGTTTCCAAGGTGGTGAATCTTTACAGAAGTAGACTGCCCAGTCTTCCCTCCACAGGTATTTCTTTTTTGTTCTTTTTTTTCCATTGTGATTTGGGTGAAACTTCACAGAGCAAATTCATTTTCCAAACAATAATTAATACACATTTTGTTTCATGGCCTGACTACAATCCTTATAATGTAACATCTCCCTTCCCACTTTCTCCCTGTGGTTACCACCTTCTCCCTGTGTCCTTCTTTCCTATGCATTCCTGCTCTCTGAGCTATCACCCTGTGCAAATACTGCCCTTCTGATCTCCCATGATGGACTGTTCTAAGAGTGTACCTACATGGTGTAAATGTTCACCTAATACACCTGTCTATTATTAGTACATGATATTTCTTGAAGGAGAAGAGTTGTCTGTGATTTGTTTCTTTCCTTTCTCCATTCAAAAAAAAAAAAAAAAAAATACTTGTGAAGTTGATTTTTTTAGTTCCTAATTTCATCTTTGAGCAAGAAAGGAAAAGAGGACAACCAAAGGTGTTACAAATCCTATAAAAAGAATAGTAAGGAATTAGCTATATTCTTCCCATCCCTCCAAAATTAGGATAATCTTGGATCCCACAAATACAGAAGACACTGTGTAAGGTTCTTTTCTGCCTTTGTAGCTCAAAAGACAGGGGATTTGGTATTTCTACCATCAAATTCCAATACAGCATCTTCCATATTTTTGTATTTGAATTGTAGGGCCTGGATGATTATGTAAATTAATCTTTATAGTATCCTTATTCCTCTTGTCCCAAAATACCTAACTCACACAGATTGTCATCTTTTTAAAAAATAATAATAATAATGTCAATTTCACTCTCTATGGCTGTTCAAGCCAATGCAAAACTAGGACTTTCCACAAAATTATCTACCTATGATTCTTCTAAAAGAATGCTCTTAAAATGTCAGATACAATTAAACAAAATTTAATTTTCTAGGGTTTCTATCAAATATTACTATGCTCACCAGCTTGGATCTAAGAAACAGGGGAAAAAATACTTCACTAGTTCTAAAGTCATAATGTAATTGCCAATGCAGAGAAAAGAATGACAAGCACCTGAAAATAATGCCATAAATTATGATGCAGTGCAGGTCACAGAGAACTCCCAAAACAGGACTGTGCCATTCCCATACACAGGTTTTCAATTCTCAACATATGACAGGATATTCTACATCTATGGATGAAATCTGATTTAATTATTACCATACAGACTTGGGATGTTCAGCCAAGTTAGGACTCAACACATTACAGATTCTACCACTATAAAGTAAAGACTAAACTCACTGCCGTTGAGTTGAATCCAACTCATAGCAACTCCTCCTTGGGTTTCCGAGGCAGTATCACTATGGAAGTAGATTGCCCAACCTTCCTTCCCAGGGGTGGCTGGTGGGTTTGAACCACCAATCTTCTGGTTAGCAGTCAAATGCCTTAGGCACACCACCAGAGCTCCCTTAAAGTAAAACCAAACCAAACTCACTGCCGTAGAATCATATCCGACTCATAGCAACCCCTCCTTGGGTTTACGAGGCAGTATTACTACGGAAGTAGATTGCCCAACCTTCCTTCCGAGGAAAGGCCAGTGAGTTTGAACCACCGGCCTTCTGGTTAGCAGTCAAATACCTTAGGTACTACGCTACCAGAGCTCCTATAAAGAGCTTCTTAAAATAAATTGGGTCCAATAAAGTGAATGTGTACAATTAACATCTCAAGGTGTAATGCACAACTGTTTTCTGTTTTAACATAAAATTATTTTTAAAAATACTACAAATCACTTTAAAATTATGATATACTTCGAAGTTTGACAAACAGTAGTATTATACTTCCAAGAGCACACAGCTCATCTCTTTAGGGCACACTTCTTTGCATCGCTCAAACACCATATACTCATTTGTACAAAGCTTAGTTAAATATTCAGGTTAATGTTGTATTAAGTAGGAAACCATAAATTTAGGTAAATTCTCTAAGGCTCATTTTCTTCTTCTGTGATAGAGATTTGAGGAGAGTAATAGAGTTTATCTGTTCAGCTACCAAATTCTATTATTGTAATTGGTTAATCTAGCAAACACAGCACTGTCTTTGATCATTAATAATATTCAAAAAAATTTAAAGCAATCATAAAAATCTCTTACTAAAATTTACTGATTCATTCAAATGACACCAATTATGCACTAGATACTAAGGTACACAATGAAGATGTGGTTCCTTATACTCATACCTAAAAGTCTGTTAGGGACACAAAAGGGGATGGGAAGCATCCCAGACGGTCAGAACAACATGTGCAAAGGACAGAATCATAAAAGGAGAGGAAGTATTTATGGAAAGGTGACATGTTTCATGTGACTGAAGTACCACTCATCAGCATCAGGATAGGAATGAGTTCTGTATATGCTTCATGACTAACTTCCTGGCCAGCCTCCTCTTTTTCCACAGTTAGCTGAATAAGTTGTATTCAAATAATTTTGTCTTTTAATTTAGACCATTTAAGTCCTGAAATGTCATAAAAATATAAGTTCAAGCAGGAATTACCTGCTTACGCTAATGCTTATTCCTTAACCATACCCCATTCCTCACTCACCAACATGGTTAGGCTCCAAAGATCAGCTCATTATGCAAAAATTGGTGTTACGTGAAAATGGAAGATGACTAAACCATTACCTAACTGCAAATTACATCATTACATAATTGCCAAATTACTGAGAATCATGACCCAGTCAAGTGAACACATAATCTTAACCGTCACAGCCAGCATTATTCTCATCTCACACCTCAGTTAGTGCCAGATGTATATTGTTAATGTGCAAGACAGTCAGCTCATAGATTTTTCACTATTGCTGTAAATGTGAAATGCTGGATAATGAGATAGTCAATAAATGAGGAGTAGATGTATTGTTACGTATCCTTATATAAAGCTACCAGTTAAATACATTTAAGAAAGAATCTTCCCACAATTCCTCAAAAGTACATATTCATGATATAATAAGTAATTATAAGCAGAAGTAACTTAAAAGGTATTAATTTCTTAAACAAAAAAAGACTCTTATTTTTCATAGTACTGTAGCTGAAAAATTCAAACAGAAGTAATTAAATTAGAGATACATACCAAGTTTAAGCTGCCATTTTCTGAATAGAAAGTGTTATAAACAAATAATTGTCTTCATGATGTCAAAAGTAGGCTTGCAAACACCCACTTGTGTTGGACAATGAAGAATATACGCTAGAGAAAACTGGATGTTACCAATTCCTTAAGAGACTAAGTTTGATTTAAGTTGGTTGTTTGGAACTCCTTACTCCAGACCAATACTATGAAGGTTAGAATCTCAAGCTAAATGAAAACATAGTCTAGATGTAACAAAATGTAATACAGCCAAGATGAAGCACTAAACCTACAGAATGTAATCACCATACAGAACATGGATTCTCTGTTAAACTAAATACCAAGTATGAATTGGTCCTGCCTGATCTGTATCTTCCCTTGATTCATCCTTTCAGTGTTCTTCTCTGCTCTCTTCAGCATTAGTCTAACTCAGGAACAGGGCTGACAGGTTGAGATGGACGTTAGTGTGAGATATAGAGACATAGAGACTAGGGAGAAAATGAAGTAGCAGCATCTGGCAGCTGAAGTTAGGTAACAGTATCTTGAGAAACAATGCTATACTGCCAAATGGTGACAGATATTACCTCTCAGCGATTAATGACAGTTAATTTTATTCCATTTTTTATTTTTCTAATTTTAAAACTCATGTAAGTTTTCACTGACAATAAAATAAATGTGACTGACAATAAAACATCCCCAAATGTTTAATAGTCATTATGCTTGAGCAGTTAGTTTACAGTTATTTTTAATCGACATTTAACTTTTCTATAAAGACATAGCAGGTGTTTTGTTTTGTTTAATAATTAACAAGGCTTAGGCCCCACAGACAGCAACAACTTATGAGAACTCTGAAAGAAGGCAAAACAGAAACCACGGATCTTATATATAGGTCACTTTCAAGTAGGAACAGTCTGGCAGACAGTGAGAGGATGATAATTTTATTACTATGCCTTCTGAGCTTGACAGTCTTCAACTTAGTATCAAGAGTTGTTAATACGTCATTCAAAGAAAAACATTCTATCAAGTTATTAAATCATAAACAGGAAACACAAATAACTTAAATCTGTATTTCTAGTAAACACTTCTGATTTTAACTTTGATTTTGGATCAAAATCAACATCCTGGAGAATAACTTATATGTATTTCCTTTCATGCAATTTGCTCTAGAGCTTCTCATATGCTTAATGTTCACATTAATTACCTTCTCAAATAAACAGTCTTAATGAAACTAAGGGAACAGACCAAAACAAGCTGCACTCTAAACCAGTACTTTTAGTCAACTGGAAGAGACAGGGTAATGACTAAAGTTACTACACTCCATTACCAGAGAAATGGCACTGTCATGGTACACAATCCCCTCAAAAAAAAAAAAAAAACCGTGAAAGAGATAGTCAGACCCACACATATATACGCAGAATACAGACGCATTTGATGTTATGAATACGTATCATTTTGAGGAAGATGAATTAACAAAAAATTGTGTTCTACCTGTTGAGATTATAGGTTACACAAAGGATCTTCATTGGTTTACTATTTTTATATTCCAGGCTACCAAAAAGAAGAAGTGATCTCACATTTGACTGCCAGCTTTTTGTTCTTTCTCTTGACCGTTTGAACTTCAGACTTCTGCCTTCCAGTGTCATGGAGAAAGTCCAATATCTCACTCGCTCTGCTATAAGAAGAGCTTCAACCATTGAAGTGCCTCAACAAGCACGTCAAAAGCTCCAGAACCTATTCATCAATTTCTGTCTCATCTTAATATGCCTCTTGCTGATCTGCATCATTGTGATGCTTCTCTGAAGCTCTGCTGCAACCTCCCGCTCTACAATTTACCACATCAGCATGAAATCCGTCATCCCATGAAGAGGGGAAAACAATACTGTTTGACAGACCACTCCCTGCATAGAAGAATTTCTTTGTGAAAATTCAAGATTCAGACCAAAACAAATTATCAGCAAATTTCTTCACCTCCTGGACCCCAAAACATGATCAGTGTTTTACTTTCAAAAACTAACTTTAAAATGACTATAATATAAGTGTGTATCATGTAACTGCTCATTTCCTTGCCATAACTTATAAGTTTCTATCCCAAATATTTTCTCAGGATAGAGTAGGTATTTAGTTTTAAAACTGCACTGCTACCAAGTCTGCTTCAGATATTAAACCATTGGCTTCCCTGTTTGGGTTACATATAAATAGCATTGTACTATAAAAACTTCTCTGATAGTTAGTATTGTTTATATCTTCACCAAGGCACGTTCTAAAACAAGATTCCATTCTAAAACAAACTATTTTTTATCTATACCACCATTACTTTTTTTTAAAATTTATAAGAATCTAGAAAGAAAAATACCATATTCTTACATAAATAAAATTCCTCTTAAATTTGTTTTTCAAAGAATTACAGAATTCTAATACATGTAGGCAAACCATAAACCTGTTTTGTCTAGGACATTATGATCAACAAATTAAAATTGGTAGTTGATTTAATATCTGACAGTGTGATCAGCCATAATTACTGATATGTTAAGAGAATAGAGTTTAAGCTTAATTAAAGACACTGTAGTTGATTATCTGAGCTATAATATATAACCTGCCATACTGTATCTTAGAAATCATGAAATCTTAGAATTCAGAGTGATTTTATAGATTTTGTCTTCTATTCCAACCTGACACCTGCTATAGAAAGAGAACAGAAGATTTCCAATGACAGAAAAATCTAATACTTCAAGCATCCCCCACAAAAAAGTTGGAATTATCCCTCCAGATATTAATTCTTTGATTACATTTTGAAATTATCTTTTTGTCCCAGCTACTGTTATAATATGGAGCCCTGTCAGCACAGTGGTTAAGCACTCAGCTGCTAACTGAAAGGTGAGCAGTTCGAACCTACCAGCCATTCCGTAGGAGAAAGTTGTGGCAGTCTGCTCCATAAAGATTTATAGCCTTGAAAACCCTATGGGGCAGTTCTACTCTGTTTTATAGGGTCACTATGAATTGGAATCAATTCAACAGCAAGGGTTTGGTTTTGGTTATTGTTTATAATAAGACATAGCTTTTTTTCCTAATATATCAACCAGATGGTAAACACCTACTATTTTGTAGACCACTCTATTAAGCTAATTTATAGATCCAGCAATGCTAATCTACAATTATTTTCTTGCCAGGTACTTTTTCAATTTCCCCTCTCACCATTTTAAAGTATATTCCAACAACTCATATGATAGGCATTTAATAAAATTGTCTTGGGAAATATATATTCACCAAATTTAAGCAGTTCACTCAGTTTAAAATTAAGACTAAAACTGTTTTACCCCTGTACTACATAATCCAACAATCTTTAACTTCAGTTCAATAATTGTTACTAATACAGAAATTATTAAAAGAGTAGAGAATGTATACTGTGCCATGTGGTTTTCTGAATTCCCTGAAGTCAAGAACATATTAAAGATGGGAAATGCAGTGGTTTGGGCTCACTGACAGGAGAAACAGAGGGAAAAGTTTTTGTTGTGTGGATCTTTTTTAGCAAAGCCTCACCTGCTGGTTGAAGATCCCCTAATAAAAATTGGAAAGTTTGTAAACAATATAGTTCAGTAATTCACCTCACAAGTCTCAACAATTATCCATACAAATAGTAACTAAATTCTGTAATAGCTGTACTAATCTTAAAAATAAGTGGGACATTTGAAATAAATTGGATTTCTTTTTACTACATCAACGTCAAACTATTAACTGCGAAGTTATGAGTTTTCCTCAGTATACTAAAATAAACTTTTGTTTTTATATTTCATTCTGCCTTTGATAGAAATTATAACCTTATATTTTAAAGAATACAGAATACTATTATTCATATTACAATACAGAACAAAAACCCATTCTTTAAATGCAATGTATTAATTCTGTTTATCATGATGTATAAAGAATAAGATATCATCAAGTGTATTTAAATAACGTTAACTACCAAATGCTCAAATAATTTCTACTTCAGAATAAATTCTAATCTTAATTTACAGAGCATTAAGAATTTTTAAATGTTTAATGTTGTCTTTCATATTTTACTTAAAAATATTTGTTTAATGCAAATAATCTGTTGCCCATATGAAAATTAATGTTCTTGAACACAATGAAATGGTTCTGTAATACATTCATATTGTCAATATGACTATATACCAATCTAAAATATAAGTAATTTTTATTTTATAGGGTTTTTCAGGAGACTTTTGCCAAATAAAATAAAATCAAGATTACTTAGTACAGCCACAAGAGGGCAGAACTACACAAAATATTTAATTTGTTACTGACTAGCAATGACTTGACGGCTGGCGGTTCAAACCCACCAGTCACTCCTGGAAGGAAGATTGGGCAATCCTACTTCCATAGTGATACTGCCTCGGAAACCCAAGGAGAGGTCGCTATGAGTCGGGTTTGACTCAATGGCACATAAACAAACAACAACAACAGCAATGACTTGGGAGCTCTGGTAGCACAGTGCCTAAGGCACTTGAGTGCTAACCAGAAGGCTAGCGATTCAAACCCACCACCCAATCCTCGGAAGGAAGGTTGGGCAATCTAATTCCATAATGATACCGCCTCAGAAACCCAAGGAGGGGTGTCACTACGAGTTGGGTCCGACTCAACGGCACATAACAGCACGAAGCTATGACTTATCCTTGAATATTTTGAGTTTTCTGGCAACGTGAGAGAATAATAAGTATTCCACAAAGATCTATTCTACTACATAAACGCACACTTGGAAACATCCAGAAATTGCATGCAAATACTAAGCAGGAAAGTTGACAGAAAGCTATAAAGATGAAAAAAAGTGAAACACTTTCTTACTCTTTTATTCAAATGCATAGACAAAAATCAATTACATGCTTTTCAGCTCCTATTGAATGTGTCATGATGTCATATACTATCTATTGAGAGTGTCATAGTGCCCTGTATTTCAAGGTACAGCTGGAAGATTATCTCAAACAATAAAAAAATTAAAGACAAAGTACAAAAACAAGTAAAGCAAACTGCTGCTTTTCAGAGGATGTAACAGGATATCTAAAATACTCCCAAGTTAGAGGTAAAACTTTTTCATTCTTATTTCATGTTAGATAAAAATCCAGTCATTTAAGTCATTGTATCAAACTTTTGATTTAATTTTTTTATTTACATAAGAAAAAATTTCTAGTAAAATATGCTAAAATTATTAGGTGTCAAGCCCCTCCATGATTTAAAGGCACAAAGTTATATCTTCCTCTTTTTAATGACTGTAATTCGATCTTAGAAACATCCTAAGGAGAAAAGTATGAGAAAAGAGGATAAACAACTATGTCAACAGAGTGACCACTTTTCCACTCCTATCTGGGAGCTCCATTGTAGACTAATAGGAATCCAATAGGTACTGTTGTGTGTAGAAATGCACAACCCCTACACATTAAATAAAGGAATGCATGGAAGACATGCAGAGGAATATTTTGCTGTGTTTTGTTCTTCTCTTCCGTCACAGTCCTTATTATACAGTCAGATAGTATGTCAGAGGTAGGAGGGAGAAGCAGCTCAGTGGTGGAGGCTGCACATGGAAGCCTATAAACTTGACTAAGTGAAGAATCGATGGCTTCATGCACAAAGGAAACACTTCAAAGTATACTACCTTAACACTAGCTAATTTAGCAGGGAACATGGAAATCAAGGGATGTCATTCACTTAAGACTGTGGGGCTGGGTCAATAATCTTGGACTGACTCTTAAAAGAAGCAAAACTTCCCTGTTACAATAATAACCTCTTGAGGGAGAAAAGAGGAAGGGAACTATGAGAATCAAATGGATAAAACATGTAAGAGCTACAGAGTTTTGTGAGGATCTACAGTGTTATTAGATCCAGACTTGCAGCAGAATTCCTTTCTTGGTTGTAAAAAAGCTGCTTTTCATGGTGAGAGTTTAGCAGCTGTATTTGAAAATAACACACATTATCAGAACTCATCAGATGGGCTTGTACTTACTAAGACTCTTCCTTTTATAAAAATTAGACTAAAAGGAAGTGAATGTTTTAAAGAGACTTTTAAGGAACAGCTTTGATGAAACATCTTAAAGTAAAGATAGTAACTTGGAAGCTCCAAGGAAAAGATACTCAATAATTTTTTCTGTAGTAGTCCAAGAGGGGAATTAGAAAGGAAGCGGTCATTTAAAGATTGCAACTAACTGGTTTTAACTGGTTTCATCTTCTATTCCAAAACTAACAGCTCTATAAAGAGACCAATCCAAATAAGGCTAATTAAGGAGAGCTTTTCATGTACATTTCATCCCTTAGGAGCCTTCTTCCTCTACTACACACTGGGAAGAAGTTTTAAAAAAAACTTTTGCTCCAGAACATACCCCCAAGCTCCCTCCCCTACTCCCTGGTATTGCTTTAAGGTTGGGGAAAACCTTCATCATACCAAGCAGAATGAAGAGGAGTACTCAAATTAGCACTTACTTCTTTAAATGTGCCCAGTTTTGTGGGTTACCTTTCTCTCTCTCATACCTACTTCAGGTTACAGTAGAATACTGAGACACAATGGCAGCTTTAAGTCTGTTTAAAGACACCAACTGAAGAAAAAAACTGCCTGATCTCTGTTCTTCTATAATCACAAGCATTTGAGAATTAAAGTGGGATGTTGTTGTGTTGTTATGTGCCCTGAGTCAGACCCAACTCATAGCGACCCCTCCTTGGGTTTCCCAGGCAGTATCACTACAGAAGTAGATTGCCCAACCTTCCTTCCGAGGAGTGGCTGGTGGGTTTGAATGCCAGCCTTCTGGTCAGCAGTTAAGTGCCTTAGGCACTATGCTACCAGAGCTCTTTAAAATGGGATAGCATTTGGAAAATTGTTTTCTATCTTTCAGTCGCTTAAATGG